CCCCCCCCCCCCCCCCCCCCCCCCCCCCCAATCCATTTCTACTGCAGTTCCCCAACTCTGTCGTCACAAAGTACCGCAGTGGTGAATTGAAGCTTAACCAGAAAAGATTATTTTATGGATCCCATCATTGGTTAAAGTTGAGGGGTCATTGAGAATGCTGAGTTGTTTGGTGTACATGTGTACGCCGTCCGTCCGTGAAAAAGAGGGTTTTATTTGTGCGTCTGTGTTGTGTTGCTGGTGGTGGTTGTGTGTGTCTGTGTGTGTGTGTGTGTGTGTGTGTGTGTATACAGTTTATAGGCTGTGAATTCTTTTGTTTCACATCCTCACAATTTTCTCGGGGACTATGGTGCAGCGGCTGGCTGGCTCTGCGTCAATCCATCAGCAGCTTGTGCTGTGTGTGCAGCCCCCCCCCCCCCCCCCCCCCTCCAACTGAGATGGAGGAGCTACAGTGCTCAGCCTCAGCGCCTGCCAAGTTCCGTACCTGGGTCTAAACGTGCCAGCATTTCTGTGTCTCCCCAAATCCCAGCCACTAAATGACTCCAGTAGTGTAGCCTGATGGTTGCTTCTCCAGTGCGTAAAATATTTGTTAAATGTGTATGATGAAACACGGATGAAATGCATGACCTGTGAGCTACAGTACTTGTGCCTACGACTCTCTATTCGTAGTGGCTGGTGGTGGAAAAAGATGTTTCTTGTAACTGACGGTACAACTAGACACCTGACGCAGGTATTTGTTTGCCATTTAAAATTGCTGCGTCAGTATTAAATTGAAGGTAATGGTAGGGATTATATGTTGTGTTGTAGCTACATATTTAGTTTATGTTGTCAAAACAACATTCAGACAAGTAGGTGCAATGATCATTACAGCCTCATGGTGCTCTGAGCATGGCTGTTGATTTTAAGTCTTTCACAGTCCAGCAAGCGTTCACATCAAGTCTATTTTATTTTTATTTTTATTATCCATCCAACATTCCTTTGTTTTGCTTTGCATTACTCGTCCCCCCCCCTTCCACCATTATTTGCTTAATTACGGAGCACATAAGCATCTGTTAGCCTGCAGCCTGCCTTTGTGGTGCCTTCGTGGTTGGGCTATTCGGCCTCGGTGTGATATATTTACTCTCAAATTAGACTGTGCACAAAATCTACAGATGCATTGGCCACCTTTCCTTTGTCTTTTGGTGTAGATCGGCTCCAGGTGGAAAGATGTGGTCAGCAAATGTATCAAAGGTCACTTCCAGCCTCTTCTCCTCTTTTACGCCAACCCAGACGGGAGTGCCATCAACGCAGATGATGCCTCAAGACAAAACAGCAGCCACTCTCACTACAAGACCTCTGTCAATGGAGAGATGCAAGGTAGGACCTGATCCATCAGTCCTGCTTCTGCATTGGTTTGCATTTACTATTTCCACTCTGACAACTTCTACTGGAATAATGACCCTAACAAATAATAATACAGGGGTAATAATGACATTTAAAAGTTCTCATCATTATCGACATGTAGAGATGGCAACATAATTATAATCTGTGGGGGAAGATGAGGTGTTAATTTAGTGTCCTTTTTATACAAATGACAACATCAAATTCCTTTGGGATAGATATATCTTTGTTATTATTGCTGTTTAGTGGTACATGTTCTTCTTTGCTTTCATTAACCACAATCCTATCCCAAATGACCTATTTGATTATAGTGCCAGACTGTAAAAGCCTCGTTAATATGAAGCTCTGCACGGCAGCTACCGCTCTCTTTTTTTTTTTTTTTTTTTAATTTATAGTCGTAAGAATAGTGCTCGATGTGGAGGAAATAACAGAAAAACTCATGTGCCTCTGCAAACATAGCTTGTGTTGTGTTACAGGTAGGTGGCAATTTAAAAAGACAGTGTTTTTATGTAAACTTCTTGCAAGGCTGTTGTTTGATTTAAGTGGTGCTTTTACTTCCTCAGCACACATTTAAAGGGGACATATTATAAAGAAACTGACTTTTTGAGTGCTTGTGCACATACCTGTGCATACCAACCCACACACTGCAAAATATGACGACCCTGTCAGTTTTTTGTGGGCTGCATAGATGTCGGAACAAGCATGTGATTCAACAAGCCTTTCGTTTGGCTCCCTTTCCTCTGTCGCTTTTTTTGCGAGTCAATCAGGGCAGACTGGGCTTTTTTGGGTGGGTGGCTAAAAGAGACGAGCTATATGGCTGCCGCGATTAGTTGCCGTTATCCATGACATTGGCGCTGAAAATGCGTTGCCATCGATATTTTAAATCACAAATACAAAATGAAATCCTCTGCTCTTGTTGCTGCTAAATACACTAATAAAACCATAAAATAATCTGCCTGCTACTTTAGAAATTACATTGATTATCGGCTCTGTGTCACTGCAGCGCGGGCAGTGGAGGGAGACACAATGCTGTTCATCTGCCCGTAGGCGTCTGCCCACACTGCAGTGACACAACTGGTGTTCTGACGACTTATTGCTGCCTTGTCAAAAACAATACTAGTCCATCGCTTTTGATTACAATCGGGGAAGAATATGGGGAGCACATTTTGATACTCTATTATATCTTTGTTTAAGATTTCAAGGGTTGTGTTTTGTGTGGCATCATACATAAACATGGCCTACAGTTTGTTAAAATACAATTAACTTAATTGAAATGGTCGATTTTGGGGATTTTTTAAGATTAATCTATAACATTTTTGAAAGATTAGACAGGCGTTAAAGTCAACCACTTTGGGCAGAAGGTGGGTGAATACAGGTATATTCACACTGAGAAAAATTGTTTTTTATTAAAGCATGCAAGTGGAAACCCAAAATATCAATATGAACTCAAAGTTGAGCCCCCCACACCCACACCCACACATTTACAAATCCCTTTAAATGGAAATCTAATTTAGAAAAACCTCAGCAAACAAAAAAACAATTCTTTATAGGACGTGTAAAATCCCAGATCATATTTTCTGCCTTTGCAGGCAGTAATGAAAATTTGTTGACGACAGCTGAATATCTCTGCCGTTGGGATTATACATCCCTGGATTTGTTTGGTTGGTGAGGTTTTTATCCCCTTTAAAGATCCTCCTCCAACTCTGCATGCTGGCCGTGCCCCAGGTCCAAGCTGTGGCAGCCGCTCACTGCCCATCAGAGCTGACAGGGCGCCGGACCAAACTGGATGATCCTGCATAACCTAGGGAGACTTTTGTGTGGATTTTGTAATTTAAATTCAGTTTCTTGGTGTCAGGCTGACACGCTGTGAATTTATTTATTTATTTTTTTTTTTTTATCATAGCTTTAGGAATAAGGTGTTTTGGAAAAGAAATGATTCATATATGGCATAATCTTGACTTGATTTTCATCATGTTTATGTTTCCTTTTTTCTTCCTCCACAGGCTTAGAGTCTCCAGTTGTAGCCCACAAGAAGCTGGACCTCACCAGGGAGAATCTGAACGCTCTGTTGGGCCACGGCTCTTTCAAACAGAAGAACCCATCGACCCACAGCAGGGGCAGCATTCAGACCAGTGGAGAACGGGGACAAGGTAGGAGGGGAAATATGAAAAGAATGAAAAAGTGTTGAGAATGCAAAGAGAGAGAGATTCGCAACTCAAGATGTGGAGGAACACACTGCATACGTTTCCATTTAATCAGGTGTTTTTTTTCTTTTTCTGAAGAAAATTCTTTCAACATTACAAGTATCAGCCTTAACAAAACTATGGTGTTAACACACAATATGTGCTCGTGGAAACTGAGTGTCTTGCACTGATCAAGAGTGAAAAACGTGCAATGAAAGAAATGTGCTGCAAAAAAAGACATTGGGCATTGGTTGTAGTTTTTAGCCTTGATTTTTTTTAAACATTTTTGGCGACAGAGAGTGCAGACAGATTTGGCATAGCAACCAGAAGAAGAGATGATTAAATATCTTCGCTGTAGAACTAAATCTGGCCATGTTGGTTATACAGAGGGGATTAGTGGCCCTCATTGAGGAGACGGGTCACAGAGAGCTGCCAGTTCTGCACACACTTAAGTGCAAGTACAGAGAAGAGTGTAAATTGGGAAGAAGAGATAAGTTAAGAAAAGTAAATGACCTTAATGGAAAGACAATAAAAACATGTTATCAGTAGTCACTCTGAGCTTTCAGAAGCATCATATTTAAATCTAAAGTCTCATCATTAAACTGGTTCATCATCTTGTGAAGTATTACACATTGTTTCTTTTTGTGCTAAACAGAATATTGAGTCTGACAAATGTAGTCAAAAACACTTTATTTTAAATGAATGTCCTCTTCCCAGAGATTCCCGTTGAACTCTCAGACAGCTAACAGACCCACAGTGTGATCATGTCTCCCAGTGTCATGCCTCATCATTAATAATGGCGAGAGACAGAGCAGGGAAGCCTCTGCATGGGCATGTTTCCCACCTTGCCGCCTTTCCCCTCATGTAGCAGAAATTGTACCGCATACATCGGCACAATGTTGTGCTGTGAAGTTTGCATCGGTGTACACACTCTCCAATTGCTCAGTGCTTTGTGGGTGCTGGGGACTAAGAGATGGAAAACAGTGACCAGAGAGAGGATGTAGTGACAATAGATTAGACACTGTGATGAAAATATTTTAATGGTGTCTGCAGCGGAAAACCCCACCTGATTAACTTCCAACTTACATCCCCTCTGTCCCTCCATTAAGGAAATTGTGCCAAATTCTTCATGGTTCTACCTGTCATCTCCTTTGTTTTGTAGTGAAAATTGGTACCAGCGAACCCAAGAGTCGCCTCAGGGATATCTCTCGAGAAGTTGCCCACAGAGCAGGAGAGATGCGTGGGATGCATCCATCCAGAAGAGAGCCTGATAGGAGCGGTCATCGGAGGCCAGAGTCACGCTACAGAGGTTGGTCGCACATTGATAGTGTGTGGATTTATAGAGGTGGTCCGTATACGCATTATAACTGTCAGGGCTTTAAGATACAAAAGGCTAGCCTTCCACTTCCCCGGCCCTTATGTAACCGTCGGTGTCAGAAAGGGGATTAAGTGCTGACGTCTGTTGGAGCCTGCCTTCATCCCACTCTCTCATATTCAGCCATTGGTTCTCCTCTCTGTGGTCTGCATTTACAAACATACACTAGAAAGTAGATCTCATACTGTATGATTTAATTAGAGGGGGAATTTAACTCAAAAGAAATTCATATTCCTGGCACAATATGCCCACGTCCCATTGACCCCACACGCTGTGTGTTGGTTCTAATCAGGCGGCTGATTGGTCGACTACTTTAATACTCTTTTAGTACATCACTGCTTTCAATTAAGTATCAGTGAAGGGATTATGGAGCACAAGTCTAACCACACTCCCAAATCCACCATGTCAACAACAGTAGCCCGTGTTAGCAGCAAGCTCGCGTCCCCATTATGATTGAATGCAGTCCGCTTAAGGAGGCTAGTGTCTCTGCCGTGATGAATGGTGAGGCTGGAGGTGACACTACAGTTAATGTAAGTTGTATAAATTTACAACAGTGGGGCTCATGCCCAGGCTAGCACTTTGCTAAAAAGTCTACTCGAGAAAAGCTTAAGCAACTTCGCTGCTCGTATTGAATTGTCTTTTTGATTGTTATTTCCAAGATTAAAACAAAACCTTTTGCAGACAATTGAAATCAGAAATGTCGCTGCCGGGGAGATAAATAAGTGCGTGCGGGTGCAACTATAGTTTCCAGGATGGATCTCTGGCCATGTATTCTGAAAGTGGCTATTATGACTGGAAGTGTCCTTGTAAAAGCAGACATAATTTGTCACACACAGACATGTCATTCCTGTAGATGTAGGCCTATACACTTGCACAGATACACATTGTGTCATGTGTATCTGCATGGCTGTCTGTACCTGAGCTGGTTACCATCTGTGTATACTCTATGGAAGAAAATTGACTCCTGTCGGCTGTAATTCACACCTTCCTGTCACCTACACACATAAATGTCAGTAACCCTGTTGTTGTCATGCCCTTCTCTCTCTTGCCGCCCAACTTGCACTGTGCTTTAGCACAGCTTTGTGTCAATTTTTGGTCTTGGCATCAGGTGATGGATGGATAGATAGATAGATAGAAAGATTGTTGACAGTTTGAAGGTGAGACAAGTTTAAATGGATATACTGTATATAAGTTTAAAAAAAAATCCTGCCTCAATAGATTTAACATATTTCTAATGTTAAAATTCAAAGTCTTGAATCATGATTTAAAATCTGTTTTGAATGTTCAAGCTCTCATGAAACTTCCTTTTGTTTAAAAGCAGATCCGGGTCAGGACAGGACCTACTCCCGCTCCGTCTCCCCTCCAGAGAATGGCTTCAAACAACACCTGGAGACTCGTCTGTACAGCAGCCAAGGAAAAGGTCCCATACGGACTGAGCGAACACCGCACCTTGGTGGGCGGTCCTCGCATGAGCCCCCTCACTCTAACTCGAGGGTCCAAGTGTTGCCCAGAGTGCCCAGCATCGGTAGTGATCATCACAGCCGGAGATTAGACCAAGTCTCCAACGGATACGATACCGACATCAGCCAGGACTCCAGGGAGCGTCCCGGAAGCGGAGGGAACAGCCGCAGCAGGCCCAGCCGCCCCTGGAAGCCCATGCGCGAGGTGTTAAACGTGGACAGTGTTTTGAGTAGCGGCAGTAACTCGGTTGGTCAAGAGCGAAGGCAGCACAGCCCGCGGAGAAGACCCAGCAGTCAGTCGCCCTCCCGTGACCGAGAGCTCGACAGAGATTTTACGTGGGGAGGCAGAGAAGAACGCAAACCTAAGAGCCTCATGACCATCTACGAGGACGAGCAGAGGCATGAAACAGGCGGCAGCCGAAGCTCGCTGGACTCGGATGGCCGGGGCGGCTCCAGCGACAAGGACAGGTCAAAGGGCTCAGCGGCTCTTAAAGTGCGGAATGACAATTGGAAGATCCAGCGGACTGAATCCGGATATGAAAGTAGTGACAGACTCAGCAATGGCTCGGCAAATCTTGACTCACCTGTGGTAGACAACCTTTCTTCCAAAGACCTGCGCACCATTCCTGAGCTGCATCTCACAAGGTAAAATAGTTTTTATCAGCCAAGTAGACAAAATCTTGGCTCGGCAATGTCTGACCGAGATGTCTGTTCCACAATTTTTGCTGTCAGAACTCTGCTTTGTCATCCCACCCATGCCCTACTCATTTATGGATTTGAGTCTCAAAAGTGCTGCCATCTTTAAATGATTTAAACATTGCAAACAAACTGTTCTAAGAATAGCAAGACCCATTTAACATAAATGCACACATGGCAGATGTGCCAGCGTTATTATGTTTGGCTGTCATTTGATGGCTTTGTAGTACAGGTTTTGTTTGGAGATAATGATCCCAACTCGCTGACATCTCCTGTACTCGGAGGGGAGAGCCAGCAGATAGCTGACTTCCTCAACTGCGAGTGAATTATTCAAGCCTATCTCCTGACAGTAAATTGCTCCTTTTGTTCCGGGACTGGGTTACGGCCTAAAGTCACAAAAAATGTATGAAATACACGCAATTTTATTTTGGTAATATGGCATGGCTTTTTTTTTTTCTTCTTTCAACCAGTTTAATTAGGTTTATTACAACTTCTTTAAACATTTAACAGCACATACAACGCATAGCATTTACAAACGGAAACCACACCTGCCTCACAGTAACGACACAGGGAAAGAAAACAAGCACTTCTTTTTGACAATAACATGTTTTCTTCGCATTTTTGTATTTTAGGGATCACTTCCCTCAGAGAAGAAGCGATGATTTGAAGGCTGACATATTGCACTCCACATACTCCACTGGTAAGTAGTTCTCACACTTCATATTTCTGCGCACCAATAACTTTGGTTTAACGACGTCTGCTTATTCTGTATATTACTGGTGACACCTGTGTGTACACCATCAGAGAGAGCTAACATTTAAGATATACAGTGGTTAAGATTTGTTACATATTTAGACATTTGGTCGGAGTCATTAAAGCAAAAATAGGAAAATCATTTTTGTAATTTCAGCATGTATGTAAGTACAGAAGAAATCTAGGTTTTCTGTGTGTTACATTGTGGAAATAAATCAGTCTTTCCCAAAGGCCTTCCTCTGCTCAATAGGCTTCCGTGTGTCGTGAGGATCTGAAACATTAAGATAGTACTAAGCAATTTCCTTGATTTATTGTTCCATCAGTAGTGTAAGGTCAGAGCCTGATTGATACTGTATGGAAATAAGCATGCTCTGGTTCCCCACTGACTGGCCTTGACCTTTTTTTTCCTGAGTAAAGTTTATGTTCTGCAGCACACAGAGAAGTGTATTTTTAAATTAAGAAGTATCTTAAAAACAAAAAAAAAACAAGCCTCTCTAATTCCCTCAAGAGGAACACGCTGAGTTAATCCTGAACAAGAGGGGAAGATGAGTGTGCTTGTAGGGGGCTACCCAGCTGTGCCCAGCCAGGCAGAAAATGCCACGACTGGGCCTGTCAGAAGGTGCTATTCAAACATGAGGCAATGAAAATGCCATTAAGTAGCACTGCAGCTATTTCAAGGTCCCAAAGAGTTCTAAACCGCAGCATAGAAACAGCAGCTATACTTTGTCTTCCTTGAGTTTTATTCAGAGGTGAAAATAGCGTTTGCACAAGTGCAGTGAGTTGGAGAAACAAGCATGCATGCGTAGTGTTGAATGCTGGTCTTTTCATTTTGCCTGTTATCATTTTGTTTTTGTTTTCTCTAAAGATTGTCCCCTGAAATAATCCTGAAAGGCCTTGTCTGTATCTGCTCATAGATGATTGCACAAACCTACATTTTATACTAAGGCGTTTGTAGAATGTGTTACCTTTTTGTATGAGACGCACTTAATTTCAGAAGACTTCTTTTTGTATTTGAAAAGTATCTTCAGCTGCATCTCGAGTTAGTCTTGATTAATGTGACGACTGCCTCATGATGCGGAATAGTTTATTGTTGAACCTAAACTTATCTTTGATCGGGTCTTTGAGTTTGATTCTTCAGGAGCCATTTTAAAATCAGTATGGGGAATTTACGCCCTGCTGTCTGCAAATTGTATTGACACGCTGCAGTTAATGTGTCCTAAGGCCATTTGGCCTGAGTTCAGCGGTGGTAGTCTGGCCTGAGCTGCAGTTTCAGTGAAGGCTGAGCAGATTCCAGTTCTCCATTTAAGTCCAAAATCCTTTCTCAAATCACACACACACACACACGTGGGTGGGTCTTTGCCGTTTTTGACTAATCATTCTTATGCTCGTTCGGTGCATCAAACGAGGGGCCTCTAGTCTGGGTCTAGGCCTCTCTTAGTCACCTTATTGGCTCCGGTGGCCCCTGCAGACCTCATCAAGAGTCTCACTTGAGACACTCTTATGGCTCAGTTTGCACATGATTGATTATTTTGATTACATAAACTGAAGAGTTGTGTACTTTACTTGGCACTCAAGTTATGATACTC